ACGTCACTCCTGAGCAGCCCGCATGCGTGCCTCCGTCGTGTTCCCATCCATCGTCAGCCCACCCCGGGGTCCGCTGCACTTTACAACAGGAGGGAAGGCAGGCGAGTGCAGCAGGTTGCTAAGCAGCAAGCCTGGAAACCAATGATCCCATTTTAGGCTTTCAAGCAACAAATGAGAGATTACTTGTTCTGACTACCAGAAACCTCTTTTTAAATAAAGGTTAAAAACAGTCAGAAACTCCACCTGTTGGCCTCTCTGTGCTGGGAAAAGTGTCAGTGGTAGCTGGAAGGCTGGGCAGTTGTACTGTGACCTGTGAAGTTTTAACGTGTTAAGTAAAATTATCTTGTAAGACAAAATCAATCAATCAGTAAATAAAATAACACGGCCACTGAGAGAAAGGTACAGTGACCTTCTCAACTTCCTGAGCTGCACAGTGAACGGAAGAGCTGGGATTCAAAGCCAGGGCCGACCGTCCACAGTGTTTCCAACTGCTTCACTGCTCTGGAACAAGCGGGAACCGCCTGTGCTCAGCCCAGGACTCCATGGGAGGGCCAGGCGCCCCGGAAGGCGGTGCGCAGGAGGGCAGCAGGATGGCTAAAAGGCATCAGGCCGTGAAGCCTGGGGCGACGAGAGAAAAGCCCCTCCCGACAGAGGCAGCGTCCACTCGCTCCAGGCTGCACCCACGGCGGTGGGAGACTCGGGGCTCAGGCTCACAGAAGCAGCAGCCCATCCAGGCTGCCCGCGTGACGTGCCCAGGTTGCCCAGACAGGCAGCATCGGCTGCCAGGGAAGAAACACTCCCGTGCGCACTCGTAGAACCTGCACAATAAGCAGTCTTCTTCCGCATCTTCCTACCTGTCCCGCTCTCCCCACCAGGATGGTAAATGCTTGGGGCCCTGCTCCCAGATGTGCTTTCCCGATGTCCTCGAGTCAACCCCGGCTCAAACTTCAGGCCTCACTGCCACTACTGCCCCCTGAATGGACCAGTCCGACTTGTACAAAGCCCCCCAGTTTCAGGTTCCCATGGCACGATGCACCCCCACACACTGAGCACAGCCACGATTTTCTCAGAGGGGCTGAAGGTCTCTCTTCCAAGGGACGCTGGACGAAGTCCAAGAAAACGTGCCAGTCTTTCGCCTCTGCCTCCCAGGGCCCGGCGCAGCGCACGGCCTGTGAGCAGCCCTCAGCGAGTGTGTGCTGCCCCCACGGCGCCCTCCGGCCCCCGGCAGACGCGGACACGGCGATCAGCACCTGAGCAGAATGAAAAGACGCTGCAACACAGGGCGCAGGGAGGTTACTACAGGGAGGTTACTACGGTACGCATTTCTGCTTGAGAACAGAAGTTCGTGAAGAGACTGAGATTCTGGATCCTTCTGCAAAGTAAAGGTTGATGGTGATATTACACCACTAGCACAGACACTGAAAATCCACCCAAGTTTACTTACTCCTAGAAAAATGGTTCCCCAAAGACTTATCAGAACTACTGCCCGTAAGAGTCAACTCAAATAACAATCTTAGAGGAAAGCTGTAGAGCTGCCCAATCTCGGAGTGCAAACCGTCTCCTCAAAAGCACGCAGACGGCAAGATGGTCCCTGGACAGTCGGGGCGTGCGGCGGAACAGGGGCGTGGAGCGCAACAGGGGCGTGGAGCGCCGGGCCCCGCCGCCGAGCGAGCTGGAGCCGGAGGCGGAAGCGGAAGTGAAGGCGGGCCGGATGCTGGCGTCAACGACCACAGCCTTCCGGGTCAGCGACTTGCCACCTCTCCTCTCATGGGCCACGGCAGCGAACTACTGACATTCTGTGGAACGCCAAAGAACACACCTTTTGCTGATCAGACACAAAATAGGTGTAATTTTGAATATCTACACCAGAGGACTGTTGTATTGGCTGTTGTCATTTTGTTACTTGACAATGTAAAGGGGAAAAGGCCAGTGCCCCTGACTGAACAGCCAGGTGGTGCATATTTTAAACATTCTTGCAGCACACCGGTGGAGTGTCCCTGTTATAGAGGACAGAGGGTGAACTCGGATCGCACTTTCGTATTCCCTCTCCAGCTGAACCATAGCCACGTTCCTTGCTACTACCTAACAAAGAAAGGTCTTCATCAACCCCTCTCATTTCCTGAACTTGATTTTCATTAAAGCACAAGCAGGTGGCATTTTCTTAGGTAATACGGCCCCCTTCATAAAAGGAATCCATGAAAATATACTCTGCTGTCCCTGCACTAAATGGCTTCTACTCTCCACCCGTAGCTCCCAAGACAGCTTCCCTCACAGCTTCCCTCACACTGACCCGGGGCAACAGGCGGTCTCCCCCGCGTTCCCGGCAAGAGGGAGGACAAAGGCAAAGGAAGGACGGGCAGGCCTGGGAAAGCAGGCATGCTCTCGATCAATCTATTAAAAGTGACGACCAACCGAGTGTTCTTAAACACTCTAGAACCCAAGCAGCACCCTTTGGGGCAGGCACACAACTGGGAAAAGCCCTCCAACAACCCTTCCACACTCCTGCCTCGGCCTCTGGGACCTCTACATGAACCGCACTTCCTGACGTCAGTCAAAATCAACCAGCGACCCAACCACGTCAACTTGCAACTAACTGCACAGCCGCCTGGGCTTCTGTTCCTGTAATAAACCTGAGTAAATGACTACTTCTGTGAAATACCAACCAAATATTACCAACACCCTGGCTGGGCATGAATTTCTATAAATCTCAATAACTTATGATTCTAATGAAGTATTTTATTATCAAAACACATACCTTTTCTCTACAACACATCAGAAAACCTCATTTGTGTAAAAATTTTCTACCCATCTGCAGGAATCAATTTATTAATTTAGTCTTATATCTCTAATAGAACTCTGGTGTCTGGAACTTAGTCATACAGATCAGCCGTAATGTAGACTGATTCTAATTTCAGTAATTTTGTATGTCAACTCGGCATATCAAAACTCTGAAGAACAACGGCAACAAAATGAACTGCACATAAATTAGAAAGAAATCACATCTGTGTAACTCATTAAGCCTTTAACAGACACTTAACTACTTTGTATGTCTGGGTGGGTATCATAAAAGAAACTATTAGTTGGAGAGTAAGGTAAAAAATTAGTGAAACTCGTAAGCTCACAAGTACATAATAATTCCAGAAGAAGAAAAAGGGAGGGAAAAAAAGCAGCATAGGCTTGAGGTTTAACTTTTTAAAAGAAACAATTACCAGAGTAACTTCAAGGCTTTCCAGTTCACACTTCCGTAAGCATTCCATAAGAACTGCTAAAATAAGCCAGGCCATAGCAGCAGAGACCCAAACTGGGCACTGAAATACTGAAAGCGCTGGCAGCTTGACCGTTCTTAGTCTTTCGGATGCAGCCCTAGACAGCGTCTTCCCGGGACTGCTCCCGTGCCATCGCACACCACCAACGTGCTTCGACTCGCCTCTCTCGTTAGCGTACGTAGGAACAAAGTCTCTGATGAGGAAGCAGCCGTATCATTCCCCACTGCTTAATCAAGAGACTGCCCTTGGGTTTGAGAAAAATTGTTCTGTAAAAAGAATCACTACCAAAACGATCACTGATTTTACAATTTGCATGGAAACTGAGTAATGAAACCAATTTAATGGCATTTCACATGAAGCGAAAGTAAAAACGCCAATAACTACAGGCTCCCTTTGATGGCTACCCCAGGAAAACAACTCCACGTCCCCACTGACCCACCTGGGGAACAACCAGTAGGCGAGTCCCGTCCCCAAGAAGGTCAGCAAGCGAACCTTCGCAGACCCACGTCAGCTCTAACAGACTCCAGTCACGCCGTGAAGTCGGGAAGGACGCCGCGGGTGTTAGAAGGCGGGCGTGTCGGACCGCCCACCCCTCGCCCGCACCCACTGGACTCCGAGACGCTGGCCTTCCCGCTGGGGCTCTGCTGGGCCTCAGTCGTGGTGACCTCTGCGTTGTCTTCCACGGACGCTCTCCTGCCAGGCCTCTGCTCACCCGTCACCTCCCCGGAGACACCGGCCCACAGGCACCGCCCTCACTCCTCCCCCTCGAGCAGCCCTACCTGCCTCAGCCCGGGTGCAGTCCCAGACACCAGAATAAGGTCTCACACGGTGCCGGGTGAGTGAACGAGTACACGCACAGGTTCAGAGTTATGAAAGTAAATCTGACGACAATTTAAAAACAGCTGTACCATCAGCAGAGTATCTAATCCTCAGTTCCACGGGAAAAAGAAACAAGTCAACTTTTAATATTAGCGTCTCCACTGTTAAGTGCTGTTTCTGGAAATGAGCAGAGCACGGCGAGATACACCTCACTTGTGAGCCATCAAAGCGAATGAAGGACCACTCCCTGTCCCTGCGTCCTCAAAGGTCTGGTGGCTCCCAAAACAAAGCTCAGCACCCGTGTTTCAAGTGTACGGTACTCTAATTAATGCATACACTGTTTTAAAGTCAAAAAGGTGTAATGATCTATAACATAAATATGCAAGATGAGGTTAATAGAATTCCTGCTCTATGTCACCATGTCCTATCACTAAAAATTAAGTGTTAAAAAACATATATGACTTAGAGACTTCAGATTGCGAGTTAATAAAACAAAACAGAAAGATTGCTAAAAGTGAGCCAAAGGCTTATAATCGCGGACATTTGCGTATTTGTAATAAGCAAGGAATCAACACTGCACTGTGTCTTTTTAAGACCGTAAGGTATCATGGCAAGAAACTCTCCAAGCTGGACCTTGGCCGCCTCACTGGCTTTAAATCCTCTAACCAGGTAGCACCCTACCTACCTGCAGTTAATTACAACAGATTTAAACACACTCAACTCAGTCAAAAGGAAAAAAAAGCACAGAAAAATAAGGACACCCATGAATCAAATAACCGCCACACAGCCCTAGTGACACGACTGGTCACCAGTGACTGTTTCAAAGAGGAGACACTGAAGAGGAAAGGCTTCTCCAGCATCCGCTGCCACATACAGTGAACGGGACAAAGGAGCTCTGCGGTCGGCGGGACTCACCGTCACGGACTTCAGTGTCATGCCGTGGTAGGTGCCCATCGTGTCGATTTTGAAGCCCTCCGTTTCTGTAAGGGAAGAGGCTTTCTATTAGACTTTAGTATTTCTTTATCCGTCCCCAATCTAAAGTAATAACCTTCAATATACCTTAATAATTTAACAGCACAACAAAGCCTTGAATCTACTGTACACGTGAGGTTAAATGACATACTTGTGAAGATAAAAACTGTTCAAGGGCACTAGTCTCAAAAATACGTTCACCAATGAGCCCAGTATGCGGAAGGCGGTTAAGACCACCTCTACAACTGTATCCACTACACGCACAGGTTGTTGGGAGGATCAAAAATTAGACTAAGATGCTTGATGATATTACCCCAAAATTATTTATACGTAATACTCAATTTGTAGTACCACTAAAAGCAACTGTCATGAGAAGTCTTTAACATATATAAGTTCACGTTCCAAAATTACATTGATAGGCGTATGTTATGTTGTAAAAAACTAGTGTTGTAAACAGGATAAGGGTTCTAAGACAGAGTCCAATACGCCCTTCTGTGAAGCGTCAGCTAATAAACATTTTACACATCGCAAGCCAGGCAGTCTCTGTCGCAACCACTGAGGTTTGCAGTTGTGGTGCAAAAGTAAGAGAAACAGATCGGCATGGTGGGGGTCGGATCTGATCTGCGGGCTGTGACTGGCCAACCCCTAGTTTATACAATTCATTTCACAAGAACACTGCAGTGAATAAAAGAACAGACCACTGTCTACACCGTGGATTTAGCACATGCCTGTGTCCAGCAAATGAAGTCAACATACAAATTCACTGCATCAGACAATATCCTTTAACACAACTGAGAGACTTCAGACAGTGGGGGGGAAATGACAAATGTCAACATCCACTTGCTACCACCTCACTTTTTCATGAACCAAGTCAAGAGAAATAAGTTGTTCCATCGACATTAGTCCACCTGACCACTACACCATGGGGACCTTCACAAAACGATCCTCGTACGGCGACTCGGATCCACGCTTCCCAGGTTCTCAGCGCACAGTTACAATCTGGGAAACGTGATCTGACATACGGAATCTCCACTCTAAAATAACTTTTGGAAAAACAGCAGTAACATTCGTAACAGCAAATGTATGTAATAGCTTATTACACACCAGCCACTAATTCTAGGGACCTGATTAAGCAGAGTAACCCCCAACAACTCTGAGAGACAGGCTCTGTGCCACTACTGCTGCCAGAACTGTGCTGTGACAGAGGAGGAGACCGAGGGAGAATGCGGCCGTCCGAAGAGGGAATGCACGCAGCTAAGCAGGGGCAGGCAAAGTCACTCTGCAGGAGACCGGACAGGGTCTTGAGGCTTTGCCTCAGACGGCACAGGCTCGTCACAACACTGCCGTCCTGGCACCAAAGGAGCCATAAACGCACACAAGTGAAGGAGTGCGACCACACTCCAGATGTGGCCCGCCAACCCTGCCCTTACACGTCCGGGCGCACTGCCTCTCCAGCTGAGTACGACAGCAGTACAGAAAGACAAACATTAAGTAACTTGCCTTCTTTTCCTTTGAATCGTTCCTGGTCGTATCTGTTGTAGGCAGCTGGGATAGGCTGTTTGGTGCGCAATGTGGGATCCTGCAGAAAAATAAATCATGACTTACACGTTAATATTCTAAACTGTTACTAAACACTCATGATGAAAACCACAATAAGGGTATTTTCTCCTAAGCTTTTTTCTTACTACAGCCAACAGGACAAAGGGGGAGAGTCATTTGGTGCTTATTTTTAAGATACTGCTTACCACGAGAAAACGGCCAGGCCTACGGGAACAAGGGCAAAGGACCCCAAGTGAACGCGCACCAAGGCAAAAAGCAAAACCCTTAGACACTGCAGAAATAAAGCAGGTGAGCCTAGTATTTTCATTCCAGTTACTCAAATTTCTTTATGAAATAATAAGCTCCCTCCAATTATAAATATGTTCTTTAACAAATAAAACCTCTTTGAATTCAAAGTTTACTAAGCTGACATTTTAGAGCCTTTTAACTGAATTGTTTTCTGAATTGTTCATCTTTAAATTAAAACAATGACAACTGTGACAACAAACCCACTACAAATGTACTGGGTCAGGCTGAAGTTAACAGAGGTGTTTTTCCCCCAAATACTTAGAAAAAGTTGCCAAGCAAATGATGGATAATTTAATTCACAAATACTTTATCTAAAACTCAGTCTGTAATAACCTGAAAAACATATTTAAAGAATATTCCAAGACTGGTTGGGAAATTCATGATATTCAGGAAAACTAAAACACTCTTCATTTTGTTGATCCAAATAACAGAGACTTTATTTAAGACTGTCTTTAGGAGTGGGGGTGTGTGTGTGTGTGTGTGTGTGTGTGGATAAACATTTTGCGTGAACTTGGCAGTCACACACACACTTCTAGAGTCAAATGCAAGCATCAAAATCTTCCAGTATTTTAATGATCATGGGAACACAGAATATTCAGTCACAAAGACAGTGGTTAAACCGTTCAGATGTGGCACGAGTCTCCTACCAGCTGCTATCAGAAACGACGCGCAGCTCGGAACGTAAGCGCCCAGTGTTTCACCACCATCTCCCCTGAGTCACCTCCCCGTCCCAGAGACGGGAAGCCCGGAGAGGACAGGGACTGCGACCCTTCTCACTCTCGCATCTCTGGTCGGCACACGGCCGGACAAACGGCAGGCACTGTCGGTGCTGCTGCCAAGTGCACGGGAAATGCTTATCTACACACCCACAAACTCACTACTTACACATGATTAAGAACCAGTGATTTCATCAGCAAACCAAACTACTAAATCTTGGAAAAACTGTATTTATATCCTACCAAATATTAATATACTTTTTAAAATTTTATGTAAAATAAAAACAATGCTATTTGTATACTTATTTCCTTTGCTGATGTATATTAAACTATTTAGAGGATTTGAACAAAATTGAAAGGTGCGTCCAAATTTAAATATGGGCTACATGTCAGAAGTAAAATTCATCTGGGGAGGATCCTGAGTGACGCAGGCAACCTTCCAAATAGCTAAAACTAAGGCAGAATGGCCCTGGCTGGTATGGCTCAGTGGGCTGAGTGCCAGCCAAGAAACCGAAAAGTCACCAGTTCAATTCCCAGTCAGGGCACATGCTGGAGTGGCAGGTCAGGTGCCCAGTTGGGGCACTCGAGAGGCAACTGATTGGTGTTTCTTTCACACATGTATGTTCCTCTCCCTCTCTTTCTTCCTCCCTTCCTTTCTTTCTATAACAATAAATAAAATCTTTTAAAAAAAATTTTAAAGGCACTATGACAGGACCAAATGACCTATCATCAGAAGAAACACAATACATTCACAATGAAGTCATAGGTACCAGTGATTTTAAAAAGCGCCCCAAAGTGAATGTTAATAGGGATTTGTATTTCTAACAGTGGTTGGTGATTCTCCCAAGCAACAGTCGGTAGGCCAGCTACAGTCTAGCCAATTACTGAGAGGGCTTTTCCTAACTAACCCCTTTCAGACTCTGACACAGGTATATCTTTAGTGAAGAATTACCGCTGAGCCACGGCTGGCGTGGGTCAGTGGACTAGCCTGCGAACCGAAAGGTCGCCAGTTCAACTCCCAGTCAGGGCACCGGGCTGCGGGCCAGGTCTCCAGCTGGGGGAGTGCAAGAGGCAACCTATCACTGTATCTCTCGTACACTGGTGTTTCTCTCCCAGTCTTGCCCCCTCCTCTCCCCCTCTGTAAAATAAATAAAATCTTAAAAAAATAAAACATAAATGAAAAGATTTGTTCCTGAAGAACTTTTAATGGTGAGAAGGGTTTTCACATCCTTTATGTGTGTTGCACCAGCAAAAGGTTTAGAGCCTGCTGGCTGAAAATCTTTAAGATCAGATGTCTCCCGAACCACAATACTGAAGACCAAGAGTCACGGCCGGTAAGATCACCACAAGAGCAGTGAGCGTCCTTACCACGGGCGCTGCGTTCGGGGCCGGTCGCTGTTCAGGGGCACGCCCCTCTTCTCTGGCTTTTACAGACTGCAGAATTGCAAAAATGTTCTTGGAAAAATTCTGAAATATAAATAGATTTTAGTTAAGCCCACTTGAATTGTAAACATTCAAAGACAGCACGGTTACTCAGTAACTCTAGACTAAGGTTTCTACTGACTCTTCCCTTCTACACGGTTATATTACTGCTACACACCGAAGTCAAATCAACTACCACAAGGAAACTGGCCCAAAGACTGATGACTACATAAGCCCAGTGCTTTCATTTCACTTAAACTGCATAACTGGCTTACGTTCATTTGTATTCTGCATCTGTTCCAACAAGTTAACACTGAAATGAGACAGATGAGACAGACCTGTTGTCAAAAAGCCTTAACTCTAGGTCATCTGCTGCAAGAGTCCCCCCTTACCCGCGGGGAATGTGGCCCAGGACCCCGTGGATGCCTGAACTGCAAGTTTTTACAGAAGCCCTAATCGTTTCTTCTGCTCTGCCAGAAAAGTGCAGCAGCTTCTTTGCCAGCAGACGCAGCTTCTCCAGTGATTTTTACACTTTTCAGTCCAAACCTATTCTTGAACCTGGGTGACCAGCCCTTACTTGCAGTAAATGACTTGGGGTCACTCGTTTCGGGGGGCCCCTGCTTGAAGTCTTTGTAGAGGTTCAATGCTTTCTGGAGCAACCCGTGGCTCTAAAAACTATTTCCCAAAATGCAAGAAAAGTAATGACAAGGAAGATTGGCACTGTTTTTAATTTTTGCAAATCTCAATGCCTGGCTTAATAGAAGATGGCTATGATTTCATATCTATTTGCACGGTCAGTATTTGTTGTGGCATCTCTTTTTAGCGTAAATACATGTAAGAAAAAGCTAGCCTCACACACACACACACACACACACACACACACACACAGTATTCACAGGTTTCAAATAGCTGTGGACATTCTTTGATACTATGCCAAAACACAGTAAGCAGTAGTTTCCTAAAGGGCACGTCAACGTAAAAACGACATCCGTAAACCTTTATGTTGTTTCTTCAAAATCCACGCCCTGGCTGGCGCGGCTCAGCGGCCTGAGCGCCGGCTGCGAGCGGAGGAGCCGCCGCCTCCAGTTCCACCCCGGGCGCGGCGCCCGCCTGAGTCGCAGGCCGGGTTCCCTGCTCGGGGGCGCGTGGGAGGCGACCGATCCTCGCCGTGTCCCCTGGCGCATCGCTGTTTCCCTCCCTCTCTTCCCCCCCTCCCCCTCTCTCTGAAAGTCAACAAGTAAAACCTTTTAAAAGACACGTAAACAAGTAAACAAAACCCACTGGTGTCTTTGGCACTCTAAGTGGAGTTTTTCCTTCTACCGGCCCGTAACGTGGGTAACAACAGCACGCAGTGGCCGTCTGGAGCACACGCGTCGCCGAACCACGGGAACTCTCCCCGCGTCGCCCCGCCGTGCCACCCGCGCGCTGCAGCTTCGCCGCAGACCCCGCCGGAAGAGTCTGGGCATGAGGAACCTGCTTCGGCCACCACAGCGAAGAGAAGCTGCCCCAGATCGGCATTTCTCATAAAGTCCACACGTGATCATTGGCGACAAATGTTGTCACCCACTTTCCCGGAAGGGACAAACTTCCCTCGTTTTTGAGAGATGCCCGCCAAACGTGTAAGTCTGCACAGCACGGTTTCCAAGTGAAACACGGTTTTCTGTGGAAACCATGGCTGTGGCTGGTTTGGCCGGCCACCTAAGCGATGGCACAGTGCTCCTCACGGGCTCGAACACCCTGCTCGGTAGGCAGAGGTGCTCTGTATACTCTAATTTCATCACGCCGGACACTAGAAAGACGCTCTTCAACGGCCAAGAAGAGTATGGAATCGGTGCCATTCCGCGTGTCGTGAAGGACGGGCTCAGCGGGCGAAGAGTGCGCCGGCCAGCCGCAGGCAGAACTGGGGCCGCCGCCTGCTCAGCCGAGGCTGCTGCGTGCTGCGTGCTGCGTGCTGCGTGCTGCGTGCTGCGTGCTGCGTGCTGCGTGCTGCGTGCTGCGTGCTGCGTGCTGCGTGCTGCGTGCTGCGTGCTGCGTGCTGCGTGCTGCGTGCTGCGTGCTGCGTGCTGCGTGCTGCGTGCTGCGTGCTGCGTGCGCGGCGGCCGCGCACAGGCAGCCCGAAGCGACGGACTGCAAGTCTCAGAACTGTAAACACAGCGCAGGACTGGGTGAGAGGCACGGAGTCCAGAAAAATCGATCTTTTGTGTGGCACAAGTGCAGGTGATTAGTTTCCTTTTAATAATCTCTCTTCATCGACTTTCCAGCAACGAACACATGCCAATTTACATATGCTCAAAAATGTGTTCTTTATGCCACGATAAAAATTAGGTTGCTTTATGCTGAATGCCTGCAATAGTAACGTAACTTGCATTTCTCATCTTCAACCTGTCTTTCACGCCTGGAACTCAGAAAACAGGAAGGTCTGTCTAAATCCTTGGGGCCTTCTAGGGCTGAGCACCTACAAGGTTTTTGGCAATTTAGCAAGGGAGGAAACAGTATACAGAGAAAATATCAGCCAAAGTAATTTTTATTTTTAAAAATGATATTTATAGAGGCAAAGCTAGCTGCCAAACAATTCTTAAATTAGCCTATTTTTAAAAATGTTTAACAGTGGTGCCAACAACACTAAAGTAAATTAGAATACTAAGTTTTCAAATGATGATACAATCCTGCCACCTAGGGATCAATGAAAATTGTTCCCCTCAGTTATTTGAAAACTTAATGTTTGGTCTAAAAGTAAGGTGGATTATATCGCCTATGTTTTATTCCATTACTACAAAATTCAGATTTTTCCAACAATTACAATAAACGTTGGTAGAACAATGTAAGTCACAATATTCAATTATGAGCCCCATATTAGATAATAAAAATGAGTATTACACAGATCATTTACTATAAATACAAAAGTAGAAGTTCACTCATATTCTAGATCTCTCTCTCATTCCAAACTCTGGAGAATGCTGCTTAATCCTAAATTCAAGTACTTTGTAAAACAAGTCAAAGTACAAAAGAATTCTCTCCTTCAGGACTCTTTCCCAACAGCTTTACTCCTACTACAGTTCAGTGGCACAGTCAAGTGGGGCCCAGAACCCCAAATCTGCAAATGCAACCCATGCAAAAGATCACTTTTATCAGTGACCTCCCCCACGTGTACCAACCTCCTTACCAAACCAACACTGCTACCGACTGTGCATTAGTGGGGACATTCCCACTTAGGGGAAAACTGAGGTGGGGGAGGAAAAGACAGATGAACATATATGGGTGAGACAATCACTGCAACCTTTCCAGAAATCCAATAAATACTGGACATCCCACATCTTTCCAATTTTTATCTTTCAAAATTTAAAGTACATGTCTCCTTTAACTGGCACTTTGTGTCTAAAGATTAATTCTTTTGCCATATACATGTAAGTGCACAAAGGCTTATGTACAAGGATGTTTTTCTTAATGCATTATCTGTAATTGTGACTAGGTAGGTAGAAAAGTGGGAAGAAGGGAGAATAGGAGGAGAAAGAGGGAAGAAAATCCCACTTTAGCAAGCAAAAAAAAAAAAGACTCCATTAATAGGGAACAAATAATTGTTAGTACATCCACACATCACAATATATAAAATATGTGCAACAAATGTTTGCTGACCGATTTAACCAAGTTCTCTACTTTGTGGAGAAGAAAATGAGTGGCCAGAAAGCTCGACATCCATGTTCCTTCCCTGTTCCCTGGGTTTCAGCAACAGTCTGACCCACGGGAAAACTGAGCCCCCCTTGCCTGACAGAGGAGGATACAAACCGGGGGCCGCACCTGGAGTCAGCCTTCCTTAGCAGCTTCCAGGGAGACCAACCACCAACGGTGCTGCCGACTACAACGGCAAACACGGCACGCAGACACCGACACGATTCTGATCGAACTGAAACCCCCACGGCAAACTTCCGCCACTCCCGTGAGGGTCCCAGGCGGGACCCGGGCGGACGTGCCCCAGCCCCCGTTACCTTTCCCGTGCTCTGCAAGATCGTCGTCCGCGTCCTCCACACTCGCTCCCTGCTGACGATGTCTCGAGTCACGTCCACCTCGGCGTCCACGAAACTCCGCTGCTTAAGGGCAGTTATGTCGTCATCCAGGTCGGTCTTGATGGTAGATCTTTTCTTAGCCATAATTTTGGCTTTGATGGCAGCAATTTTTTCCACTGACATAGCTTCAGACAAAGACCTAAAAGCAATTAATTTTTTTAATTTTCACAGCAAGGATCTTTTGAGCACATCAAAATACACTATCACAATTGAAAGTTCATAGTAAAAAAGTACTTTAGAAGTGGCAATAATTTAAGGTTTTCTTATCTATAAAAATGACATACTTCATATTTTATGCTCACGTAAGATTTTTTATAAAGAGCCCATGGAGAAATATTACTCTATGAGCAAATTAGTTATTTCTTAAAAGGGTCAATTCCACAAAACTCATCACATGTTTTGTGTCTTCCCCCCAAAAGAGTAGAACTCTTTAACATGGCGGCTTTTTTTTATATTTTTATGAGACTTTTATTTGCTTATGTTCCTGTACCCACGCAAATCACACATACACCCCCCCCCATGCAAATCACACACACCACCCTTGGAAAGGGAGGGTGAAAAACTCATTCTATAAAAAAGTCGAGCTCAGATTTTCCCTGAACTTTACTTCAAGGTTTCAAACCCACATGTCCTGATGTACAACACATCGATTTTATAGGAGACAGGAGGCTTTTATGTGCCACGTAAACATATACTTCTTTCACTCTCTGGGAGATGAAACCGTATTCTGAGGTTTCCTTTTCTTTCCTTTACTTAACTTTCAAATAATAGGCAAAATGGTAAACAGAGGCTTACCATTATAAAAAAACACTGAGAAGACAGATTTCATTATGATAATAATCTTAACCTCAGAGTCATTTTTCACAATGTAAAATGAGAAAAAGTTTAAAAGTGTTTGGGTACCTTAACAGATGATAAAATTATTACTCTAATCACAAGATGGCAATCTTGAAATACGTTTAAACAACATCTGGAAAAAGGACGGGAATTCCTGCAGGTTTAAATATGGTAATATTATATAGTATACTAGCTTATTTACATCAGGTATGAAGGTGCTTTACAGCAGAAGCTGAATACGCATCTAGTACTGGACTCATTTTATACAATACCGCGCAACTTCCCCTCAAAATCTGAGGCATACCAGCACACCTTGGGCCAAACCAAATACTTTTCTCAATCACCATGAAATGTGCACTGGACTTTCTTCCGGCCAAGATGAATTAACAGGGACTGCAGCGGCCTTCCTTTCGGAAACGACCGGTCAGCACACGGGAAGCAACAGTGTGCGAGACAGCTGACACCCAACAACGGAAGACGGCAATCTCTGACGAGCTGCGCCTTGCAAGCCTCCACCGTGGCACAGGCAGGCGGCCTTGGGAAAACTCAGTGGGCGCGGGATCGAGAGAAGGAGCCGGGCCCGGTAAAACGGCGGTGGCTGCAGCTCACAGGCCCACAGGGCCTGGAAAGGGAGAGCTGCAAAAGAGGCCCCTCGAGGACTCCGGCCGAGTGCCCATCAGCACAGACAGGACTAGGAGGGAACCAAGGCGGGGCGCACAGCCCTCCAAGGGGACTCGGAGGACCACACCCAGTGTCCACACCGGGCGAGGACCGGCACCTGTTCCCACCTCACACTCGCCGGACTTTAAGGAGAGTCCTCAGAGTGGACCTGCCCCAGCAACTCGTGGGGAACAATTAATTACCCAAGAGGGACAAACTAGTTCCACATGTTTTAACTACATCCCAAACTAAAATGTAAATTTAAAGAAATAAAAAAATATCTAGCACTCAAAAGGTAAAATGGAAATATCTAGTACCTGAATATCACAAGGCATGTTAAAGGAGCAGGAAAATACGAGCCAGAGTGAGGACAAATCTAAATCAAACCGCTGTGAACTGACACAGACCCAGGATTAGCAAACAAAGACATTAAAATAGTTATTACAACTCTATTCCAAGTGCTCAAAAAGTTAGAGACACAGATTACGTATTTACGCTACTTGCAGAAATAAAAAAGCAAAGATGGAGACAACAAATATGCTGAAAATATAATTACAGATGAAAATACTAGTGAACTACATTACAGAAACTATACAAAATGAATAGAGTCCGTGAAAATGGAAATACAAAACAATACGAAAAAAAAAGAATGTTAAGTGAGCTGCTGAACAACTTCAACAGCTAAAGTAACTACAGACCAGAAAGAGGAAAATAGAAAAAAAAAGTTGAAAAACCAGTGCCAAAAATTTTCCAAATTCAATGAAAATTATGAACCCCCAAATTCCCTCAAGAAACTCAATGGGCCCTGACCAGTGTGGCTCAGTGGCTTGGCCGTTGTTCCCACAAACCACAAGGTCACACAGGGTTCGATCCCCAGCCAGGGCACATGCCTGGGCTGCAGGACAGGTCCCGAATAGGGGGCACATAAGAGGCAACAGACTGATATTTCTCTCCCTCCGTCTCCCTCCCTTCCCCCACTCTAATATTAAATAAATAAAACCTTTTAAAAAAATCTTTGTAGGCAACTTCTAACATGACTATTTTTTTTTTAATTCTCACCAGAGAATATGTTCACTGATTTTAGGGAGGAAGGAAAGAGAGAGAAACACTGATCGATTACATTCTGTAGACACCTGGACAGAAGATCAAACCTGCAACCTATGTGCCCTGACTGGGAATCGAACCCACAACCTTTTGGTGTAAACAATGATGCTTTAACCAAGCCACCCGGCCAGGGCCTGCATGACTCTTCATGACATCCCCCTCCCGGCACCCACAAACACACTGAATCCCCCTCTGGGTGAATGTGTGGGTCCAACCTTGCTTCTAGGGGACAGAATGCTGTGCACGTAACAGGGCGCCACTCTGAAGATCTGGCTATAAAAACTCTGACTTTTATCTTACTTGACCTCTCTCTAGCCCTCTTGTTTGCTCGCTCTGATGAAACAAGCTGCAGTATTATGAAATATTCTAGGGACCGACCAAATGTAGCCAAGAACCAAGAGAGTCATCTAAACAACCTGGTATCTAGCAACCTGCAAGGACCGAAATCCTGTCGACAACCACGTGGGCCTAGCAGCAGACCCTTCCCAAACCGCGCCTACGTGGGAGACCACGGTCCTGGGCAACACCACGCTGCGGCCTGTGAGAGACCCTGATGCCTACGCGGGAGACCGCGGTCCTGGGCAACACCACGCTGCGGCCTGTGAGAGACCCTGAAGCACAGAAGCCATGTAGTCATCCCAGGACTCCTGACCCACAGAAGCTGAGATGATACAGGTGTTGCTTCAGCCACTGTGTTTTGGGTTAATGTGTTGGGCAGCAACAGGTAACGAGTAGAGTTTATCCATGGAATGGAAGCATTCAAAAAATTCACCGTATTAATAAAAAAGAAAAACTATATGATCATTTCAAAAGATTCAGAAAAAGTACTTGACAAAAATCAAGCATTCCTTTCTGATAAAATCTCAGCAAACTAAATTTTAAAAGGACATTCCCTCCACTTGTTAAAGATTACCTAAAAAATAAAAAGAAAAATGAGAAAGAAAACAACCTAAGTTAATATGCTTATATGATGAAAGACTGCTTTCCCCCAAAATGAGGAACAAGACAAGAATGTCTAATCTCACTGCTCCTAGTCTACACTGGATTAGCAAGTCTAGCCAGTGCACTTAGGGGAAAAAAGGCAGCCAGCCTGCGAAGAAAGAAGCACAGATATATTTTGTGTACACAAGATGACTATCTATGCGGAAAAGCCAACAAAGTCTGCAAAAGGGTTACAAGGACTAACCCATGAGTCTAGCACGACTGCAGGATGCACGGTCCACACCCAAAACCAATAATATCTCTACACCAGCAATAATCAAAATAGCTAATTTCTTTAACTACCACTTACACCAGCAACAAATATATGAAAATATGACAAAGACATATAACCTGTACACTGAAAATGTATATAATGGTGAAGAGAAACTACGAAGAACTAAGTATCTTTCTATTAACAGAGAAACACACCTTGTTCAACATGTCAGAAGGATGTATTTTTAAGATGTCAATTCTACCCCTAACTGGTCTACAGATTCCACGCAATCAAAATCAGAATCTCACCGGCTTCTCAGTAGGAACAGACATCAATTCCAAAACTCAGATGTAAACGCAAAGGGCCTAAAACACCAAAACATCCCTGAAACGGAAGAACGGAGTTAGAAGGCTAACACAACCTGGTTTCTAAACTCATTATCCAGAAGGAGTAATTAAATACTGTGGTACTGGCAAAAAAGACAAAGACCAACCATCCAGAACGGGTCCAGAATCAGGGTCCTGCACGTGAAGGAACAACTGACTTTTCCCCCAACTGCAAAGACAATTCACTGGGGGCCAATGAAAACACTAACTACCCATATGCACTAAATTTAACTTCAATTCCTACCACATAAAAAAAATAAGTGAATTTTATCCATACCACATAGCAAAGACAAAAAAATTAACTGAAAGTGGATCACAGGTTTAAAATGTAAAACCTAAAATGACAAAACTTCTACCAGAAAATATAGGAGACTATCTTTGTCTACCTTTTCAAAGACTTCTTAGATACAACACCAAAGCACAATTCACCAAAGAATGCATTCATAAATCAGACTTCATAAAAATTAAAATATTCTGATAGGAAACTGAAAGACAAGTCAGACCAGGAGAAATGTTTGAAAAGCACAAGTCTGAAAAAGAACGTGTATCCAGAATATATAACAAACTGTTAAAACTCAGTAATAAAAAAACATTTCAGTTAAAGGAAAGCTGACATAATATTGCATGTAAACTGTAATTAAAAATACGTTTTATTGCAATGAACAAAAACGTGAAGACACTTTACTGAAGACGATATAGGATGTAAAATGAGCACATGGAAAAGATGCGCACGACGTCTTCTAATTCAGAAAGGCTGAAGAGGCCCGACCAAGGATGTAAAGGAAACAGAACTCTTACGCACTGCTGGCAGAAATGTGAAATAGCACCACCACTGAGAAAACCAGTTTGGCCATTTCTTTCCTTCTTTTTTTTTTTTAAATACTGGGGTGACACTGGTTAGTAAGATTGTACATGTTTCAAGTGTACGATTCTGGGACACCTCATCTACACGCTGCACTGTGCACCCACCACCCCAAGTGAGATCATCTTCCGTCACCATGTGTGTGACCCCTTCACCCTCCGCTCTCCCCCGCCCCCTTCCTGCTGGTGACCACCACGCTGCTGACTGTTGTCTATGAGATTTGTTTGTCTTGTTTGTTCATTTATTGCTTTCAGTTTTATTTCTCACATATGAGTAAAATCGTATGATTCTTAACTTTTTCTGTCTGACTTACTTCACTTAGTGTGATATTCTCAAGGTCCATCCATGTTGTCAGAAAGGGCAGTATTTCACCTTTTCTTATGGCTGAGTAGTATTCCATTGAACACATGTATCACACCTGCTTAGGTAATTTCTCAAAAAGTTAAATCTCCAGTACGACATGATCCATCATGACTACTAGGAATTCACTCAAGATAAATAAAAACGTATGTCCCTAAGCAAAAACATACAGAGAAACAGCAACAAGTGAATATTCACCCAGTGATAACCGGGAAACAAACTGTTACATCCAAACAATGGAGTACTGCTCAGCAATAACAAGGAATGAACTACTGATGCCTCTAACAACACAGACAAGTCTCAAAATAGTTATGGTAAGTGAAAGACCCAAAAAGTACATACTATGCAATTCCGTTTATATTTAACTCTCGGGGAACACCCCAACCGACCCAGCAGCAGATCACCGGCTGCCTGGGGAGGGGAAGACGCGGGGATGGGTGGACCCTGGCAGTACAAGGGTGCGCAGGGAACGGGTGGCGCTGGTGCCGCAGTCACCACCTGGAGTGTGATGCCACAGACGTGGGCTTCCACAGATGTTGTCAGCTTACACACTTCAAATGTGACTAGTTTACTGTGTGTGGATTACCCTCGATAAAGCTTTTAAAACCTGCACTACAATTTTAAGTTTGGATAAAATGTCCAAACACATAGTGTGCCAAAGAAAAATTATAAAATTATTCTAATTACAGTAAAAACTCAAGAGTCAACAAAACAAGATGACAGGCCAAAACCAGCTACGCCCATTCATTTATGATTGAAAACAGTCCAGAGCTGTTTCCTACCACGACCTTTCGTGGTTGAATAGCTGCAAAAAAACCCTCATGACCTGTGAAGTCAAAATACCGAAATGTGGCATTTAACAGAAGGAGTTTGCTGACCTCTACATCAGCAAGAGATTACGTGAAAAATGAGTGGCTTAGATTACAGCATTATTTAAAAGGAAAAGATCAATATGGTAACTGAACCCAGAGGAAGGCTTCCCAGAAAGCGTAAGTCACACGATGGCTTCTAGCCCCCACCCCGTCATAAAACAGGCCCACACATCACCTCCGGAACTCGGGGCACCGTGGCGAACAGTGAGCGCAAGAGGGAAAGGCAAACGAAGACAGTGGCCCAACAGCCCCTTTTCCCTGCACACTCACAGGAACCTGAGCTGCCTCCTTTCTACCGACGAGGGTCTTACCTAATCTGTTCAGTCTGCACAATCCCTTCTTTGTGACCCTCCAAGCGAGCAGCCAGTCTCTCCTTATCAAGTCGCACACACTCTTCATCCTGAAAACAAGTGCTGCTTAGTGAGTATTTTAAAGCTTTATTTAATTTTTAGAATGAAACAACACTGCATGTAATACACCCTTACATATGTTCCTGCCTATAAAATTCCAAGGCACCACTGGCCCTGTGACAACTTGAAGCTTACTTTCAATTACATAAAGACAACAGTAATAAATATATGTTGGGTCACATACAAGTAGAACTGACTAAAAGCTTACCAAAAACTTTCAGTGACTTTTCTATGATTAAGTCGTCTTTCCAAAGATATCAGAGCTACCTTTATTCAGAAAGATATCATACAATAAATAAATTCCTACTCTTCGGGAAAGTGTATAACTAAGTTTATGAAAAGCCTTCACCAGTCAAAATCTCACTTTGGGCCTAGATTGTTCTCATCTGTTGCCCAGGTCCTGAATCCATCAATAAGGATCAAAACATCAGAAGTGAACCTTTAATGGTTTTCAATGCCTGTTCCTCCAAACAGTAGGAATTGACTACAAAGTGCCTCTTGGGCCACTTCTTGTCTGAAGTCAACCTTGGTTGCAACTTTTTACCTAATTTATATAGTACAATTTCAGGTAAAATTTAGTCTGAAAAGTGTTTGGTTACTTAAAAACAAAACTCAGTAACTCTGACATAGTCTAATCTCCACATTCAACAAACGAGGAAACTGAGGACCAGATTCAGTGAAATTTTTTTAAAAATTACATTATTTTAGCATCAAATGTTGCCCATGATTCTACTGTTTTTACTTATCAACCAATGCATATACTTAACAAACATAAAGTACAGAGAGCATCACCTAGCACAGAGTAGTAACAGTGAGCTAATCATCATCATCACTACCTAAAAAACATCTGGCCCGTCTCAGGTATGTGAATTAAAATTACGCCCTGGCTGGTGTGGCTCAGTGGACTGAGCGCCACCCTGCGCACCAAAGGGTTGCCAGTGCGATTCCCAGTCAGGGCCCGTGCCTGGGTTGTGGGCCAGGTCCCCACTGGGAGGTGAGCAAGAGGAAACCAGACATTGATTCCCTCTCTTTCCCTCTCCCTCCCTCTCCCTTCCCCTCTCTCTAAAAATAAATAAATAAAATCTTTTTAAGAACTCTTTAAATAAGACATATTGCTAACGTGAATGCAAGAATAATATTTTACGAAATCCAATACATTTTTGACATTTGTAACAAAGGTGTAAACATATTACTCAAGTTCCTTAGGAGGCTACTTGTGGATTTTAAAAACAATTGTGGCCTAGTTTTCAACCAGATCAGAATCCCTGTCCTCAAGGTTTCTGTCTCCCAGAACACTGCCTTGCAGGTTCTCAACATGTATTTGCTGAACTGAGAACTGTTTATGCAATACAGCTGTTCAAGGAATTCACATAAGTCTATAAATGCTCTGCAAACAAATTTATTACACTATGTCCTGCTGATTTTTCAAACTGCTAGATTCCTAGAAAATTAGCATTTCTAATCTGTTCATTTTTTTTTTCAGTAATTATACTATGGATCTAAGGTTTTCCCAAATAAATGGTATCCCTTAACACACTCATTTTGTATACTGGGTCACAGCCTCCTTTCAGAGAAACAGAGCTGGGGAAAATTTCAGTTTTATTGCCATGAAACTTGTACCCAAGAGAGCGGAGTGGCCAGCAGGCAGGTTGCCTGGGCTCTAGTCCTGGTTCTGTGACCCTCACGAGTCACTTACTCTCTCTGAGCTGGGGTGCTCACAGATGACATGCACAGTACTGCCAATTTCAGGAGCTTGCGGTGAGGATTACAGGAGTTAATATACATAAAGTACTGAGAGCATCACCTAGCACAGAGTAGTAACAGTGAGCTAATCATCATTATTATCACTGCCTAAAAAACATCTGGCCCATGTCTCAGGTATGTGAATTAAAATTATGCCCTGGCTGGTGTGGCTCAGTGGATTGAGTGCCAGCCTGCAAACCAAAGGGGGATTGCTATGTAACTGATCTGGGGCCTGTTACACATTTAAATAAACAGTATCATAAAATTCCTCAAGTCTTCTGCAGTATACTAGCTAATCAACAAATATTCTTTCCAGAGGTAACTAACTGCATTTCTTAAGTGACTTCTGTTGCAGGTAAACTATTTACCCATATTATTTTTCACCTGCTGGCTATAACATGTTAGAAAAACATGTAACCTGATGTGTCAATATTTTAAAAGTAACTATAATAAGCACTTTATGTGCACAGCTCTTAAGAATGAAGCAAATCTCCATACCATCTTACTCTAGGACTAGGCAAGCTACAGCCCGAAGGCCAAACCCAGCCCCTACCTGCTCTGTCAAGTTTACTGGAGCGCAGCCTGGCCTGTTCACCTACATGGAGTCTATGCCAGCTTCCGCCCCACCAGGGCAGAGGGCAGTAGTTGGACCGAGGCTAAATGCCCCCAAAAGCCTGAAACATCTACTCTCTGGCTCTTTACAGAAAATTTTCTGATCCCTGATACAGTCCAACACTTTCATCAATAAGGAAAATAAAGTGATTTATCCATGACATAGCTTATACGACAGAGATCTTGAATTACTGCTCAAGCTACTATTTATTCTACAGCAATTTTTCCAGAAAAACAGCTCCTGGGATACCATGAGCAAAGAACTCTTGTTGCTCCACAATCCCCATTTCTCTAACAGTATGAATCGCCTCTAAAATAAAATTCCATCACCTCAATTCGTGGTTTCTTTGCTTCTGCTAAAACTTCATCTGCAGCTCGTTTGACTGCAAGGGAAAAAAGTAAATAAATGCATAGTTTTGGTTCTTGGAAGTTCTATATAAACATAGAAATGCATAGGTTCTTGAAAGTTCTATATAAACATCTGACAAGACATACCTTGAGTGGATCGCTGAAGCCCTATTTCTAGAGGGGCGCTTCTGTCTATACTTGCTGACGTTGCTGAAGATTTAAAGAGATTTATGTGCGGTCAATATCAGAACACAAACAATAGATATTATTCTAAGTGAAAAAGCTCAAGATTTGTTCTATTACTTTATATAGGTCATTTCCCTAGGTAAAACGTAAGTTTTAAAGCAGCTTTGTAAATGCACTGTATTATAAAAGACTAAAGTGTATTAGAAAATCCGTTAGACAAAGTATTTTTAACAGTTTAACTTACAAATTACTGAGATAATCTGACTGAAATCAACTGATCACTTCAAAGAGCATACTCTAATATCCCAATACATGCACATAAAAGTATAATCATAATCACATAAACATACACATGAGGAAAAGGTTATAAGTTAGCATTCAGTTTGTAATGAAATTTTTAGTTATTCAATTGATAGAAAGTTATTTTTAAATTAAACTATCTGAAAAAGATAACCAAGGGTACACCGTCCCCATCCACCTAGTTCTCAACACGTCATGTGACTACGATCAAGTCTCTTGTATATCTTTTCTAGAGTTCCTTTCTGTAGATACAATACAAACTACAGTTACTTTTCCCTTTTTCACACAAAAGACAGTATACACACTGTTCTGAACCTTCCTCTTTTTAATTTAACAATATATCTTCTCCAATAGCCTTCCCTATCAGTATGTGGAGCATTTTTAACTCTTTTTTTAATAACTACATAGTATTCTAATATATAGAGTACCTGTAATTTATTTAACAGGTTCCTGATCAATGGGCAGTTCAATTCTGTCTTTTGCCACTACAAACAAGGGCAGAATGAAAAACACATATATAGTCTCCACCTGCTTCGCACATCTCCAAGCACGCCTCTAGCACGAGGCCCCAGGTGGGCAGCATCTCTCTGCCGATCTGTAATGGTCGGTCACTGCCAAACCTCCTCCGTGGGGCTGTGTCGATTGACACTACAACCAACAGTTCACTAACATATCTATTTCCCCACCGCCTTAGAGTGCATTCTCAAACTTCTAGACTTTTGTCAGTTTAAAAAACTGCTTCTCCACAAGTGTATATCTGCAATTCTATTTCTGTGAATGAAGTGAAGCATTTTTCATATGATTTTAATGACCTGTTCCGGGAACTCGGTGACTATAATACATTGGGTTGCTGGTATGTATATATTTCTAAGACCACTTCACATTATCAGTGAGATTGGCCCTTTTACTTTAATGAGTTGAAATACCCTTTCCCGGTTTATCATGTTTTCACAAAGCCACAACTTTTATTGTTTACCAACCCATTAACTGAATAATCTGATTCAGTTTAATCAGAAATGGAAATGTCTCTTTAATCTCGTTAAACTCACACCTCTAGCAAATAAGGAAGTTCTATCTGGCCACACACTGATGTTTCTCCCTCTTTCTCCCTCCCTTCCACTCTCTCTAAAAAGTAAATTTAAAAGATCTAAAAAAAAAGTTTTATTAAGCTATTTGTTTAGATATTTTAAGTTATTTGGGCTTTACTTTAAGTTCTAAACTCTACAATGGCTGGTCTTTTCTCATTGCTCTTCTCCAAATCTTTGTGACAATAACTTTACTAAGTGACCTTTAGAATCATCTTTTCTGATGATTCTAAATGTGATAGTCACCAATTTCCTTCAGATTTTTATTGGGATCATGTTAAATGTACAAATTATGTCAACTCTTATCTTTAAGCTGTTATGTCTTCCTGTATGAGAACATGAAATGTCTTAAGATTTGATCAACTTTTTCATTAAACCATTAAAGATTTTTTAAAAAATTAGCAAAGCAATGTACTCAACGACTAAAATTATTTATCCTATAGAAACTACAGGAAATGAGGAGGATGGGTTAAAGTGGAACTCTGCTCTGGAAAGAAAAACCATTTGCTCTAAAGCACTGTCCCCAAACTAGCCTATTTAACAGGCTCACCTGAGGTAACCTGTTAAAAACAGAGAATCCTAAGACTCCACACAAGATCTTCTGAAGCAAAACAAAAATCTGTTTTTACCAACTGTACCACCAAATGGTTCAAAAGGGCGGGGTGCCTTTGCCTATCTTCCCCAACTCCACCCTCTTCACCACAAACCGAAGATCCCTCTCCCCAGGGTTACCCCTGTTCTCACCCTTTGTCACGTCTACCTTGCACCTCTGTAACATGTTTTAGGACGGGGACTTTGCACTTTGTACAGCACGCAGCATAATGCCTTTGAGAATAAGCACTCAGGGAGTGCCTGCTGAATGCTCAGTGCGGACAGCACAGAGAGCCAGCACCCTTGATGATGGTCTTTCCATTACACCCGAGGCTGTGCAAACCAATCTTCGTGTTCAAGCCGGGGAGCACACGGGACAAGACAGAGAGGACTTCAAGGTAAGGAACTCCACCCTAGCAAAGGCAAGACCAAACAGTTCTACACCATAAATTTACTCATACTCTGTAAGATGCAAGTTCACTACTGCTCACTTACTCAGGTAAGCACCGACTATTAACTGTTCTAAGTGCTGGGTTATTTAACAACGTGTGTGCCCCTTAGAGTTTACAAACCGGAGGTACCACACACAGACGGCTGATGAGGGAAAGCGGTGTTATTTCACACTTCGGAGTGGCCGGGTGAGCTCCCTCTGGCAGAGCACCATGGGAGCACAGAACTGAGTGAAGTGACAGAAGGGGAGCCATGTGACAACGCAGAGAAACCGGGCTGAACTCGGAGAGAACAGCGACTGCAAAAGCTCTAAGGGTTAGAACAGTTCAAAGAACAGGCAGGACCGGACTGCCGTCTGCAAGGAAGAGTGGCAGGACGAGAGGTCAGAGATCTAGGCAGAAGCAAGATCGTGGAAGTCATGGTGAGTGTGACGGGAAGCCCCAGGATGGCCCTGAGCAGGTGAGTGACACATCAAGCTACGTGCTCTCTCAAAAGCAGGTCACTCTAACAGCAGGCGGAGGGGACACTGTAGAAAACACTGTGTGGAAACCCAAGGGAGGGTCGTGCGGGAGCAGGAAGAGGAAGCGCGGAGCAGGGTGGGAGGGGACCAGTAAGAAGCTGTCAGACCTTCCCAGATGGTGTGCACGGGAGAAGTGAGAGCCGGGGCCTTGGCCTGAGCAACTCCCCGGATGAGAGAGAATTTACTGAGATGCGGACACTGGGAATAAACCTGCTGTTCAAGTTTTGTTTCCAGGAGACAGGGAGGAGGTAACCAGCACTGAATCTGAATATGTTAAATTCCAGATGCCTAGTACATCTCCATGGGAAGATGTTGGGAGGGACTCCCTAAGTCTGGAGCTCAGGAACAGGTCAGCATCGGAGGAAGTAGACAAAAAAAATGAGAGGTCATCCACAGCAAAGAAAGGAGAGCAGCTGGAGAGAGGTGCAGACAGGCCAGTTTTTAGTGGAAACACAAGTTCTCTTGCACTGCTTGTTTCACAGGGGACAGAATGAAGCGGGGCCCACATAAGACGGACGGCAATATGCCAGGGGTGAGGGATACAAGGAGGCTAAATGGTAAGGGAAAAAATACAGTAAAGATGAAATCAAAAGAAAGAAAGAAAAAAAAAAGAGGGACAGCAGTACAAAAATTACTCACATGCTTCCCCATTGAGATATCCAAGCAGATCTTTTCGGTCAGGTCTTCTAACCACAGGAATATTTTCAGTCTGAAATAAAAATGTTAAATTAGATATCAAATCAATAATAACTACAAGAAACTTGGTAAAAGTAAATATTACATAACACCTGAATTTTATTTCAACGTAACTTGGTAACATTTATTTAGGATATTTTTAGAAAATGCCTAGGCTGAAAGAACCTAACAAAAATCTTTAAAAACTTTAAGCATATTAATTTTGGATAACTCTACTCTTGAAACTTAATTATGCTATAAAAATGATAGTCATTGGAAATAAAACAACGCTATAAAATATCAATTTGAGTCTTTCTGGTTCCCTTGGCTTACTTTGCTTACTTTTTAATTTTGCCCGTGACGGTCTGCGTGCCTTCTGCGGCAGAGCTCTCTAGTCCAGGTGCCGGCGCACGCCAGGCAGTGCTTGCAGAGGACCTTCTTTCCTCACACCCAAACGAGCCTGCAGTCTTCCCGACCTCTGTCAGAAACACTCACAGCCACTAAAACTACGTTTTCCTAATTAATAATAGGTTTGCATTGTGTAGGCATGGGGGCAAAATTTAGGAAATTATATAGGAAAACGTTCATGGCGGTTGTTTATTTTCTACCTCACGTATTTCCTTTTTATCCTTCAGTAAGCAGAAATTCTGTATGTCAGCAAAAAAAGGTATAAAAAATTAAATCTTGAAAATGCATCTATTTTGGTAAAATGAGTGATTTTCCTTTAGCCTTCTACACTAGCAATTTATAAAGAGGTGAGCAAAACAAATAAGCCTGTATACTTGAGGCAGAAGTCATTTACAGGCCATGAACACAGTAAATCCTGTAACTACCACCATTTCCACAGCATTTTTACAATGTAAACAAACGAGAGCACAGGAAAAACTGGTGGCTGCTGGATCATGAAGTTAAAATGCCTCTGTCACTTTATATAAGCAACACTGAAGGAACAAGAGCCCTCAGTATCTCGGGCTAACTACGTCACACTGGGCACGGATTTAATGCCACTGCACCGAGTGCTCTGCACACAACCCTGGATGGTAAGAGATGAACTATGGGTCAGGGGAAAGTTTCAGAAACAGTCCACTCAGAAGAAGGAGCAAATAACACAGGGGAGTTAGGAGAATAAAACTGTAGAACCCTAGAATTTTAGAATCCTGCCCTTTTGATGTGTCAAACAGTTACGAAAAACAAGAATTAAATCTTATGTGACCAAGGGTGTTAAGGGCATCAGACACAATCACAGCTATCAGCAGTTCATTATATGCTATAACCATTCCCCAAAATGCAAAATTTCTAACTCTAAACCAAGAATCTGGAGCAACTTTACTACCTCAAAATGAATGGATATACCCAACAAAACATTCTAGTTGCTGCCTGACTCACTTCGGAAGGTCTCACGTGAGCTGTCGCTGACGCTGCTCTGTAGAGAGATGCTGCTATGTCACCCCACGCCTCCCCCAAATCCCAAGCACTTTCACCCTCCCTGGTGTTTTTTCAATACAAATTTGACATTAAATATGCACATTTATTCATAATAGCAGTGTTCAGACACCGAAACACAGAAATCAGGCAAAACTGAAAATAAATTTATCAATAAAGTTTTCAAAGTTTACTAATTAAAAATTAATTTTAAAAGTTGCCTGTTATTCTTAATTCTGTTGGTGTCAAAGTTTTCTGGAGATTAAACTCAAGTCCTGAACATTGGGGTCCTTCCACAGACACATAAATTATTTAAAATATCCCTACAAATGGCCTTAAAACTTTTGTTGTTATAAACACCACCCACATTTTACATGTAAAAAATGTCCACAAATCACAATAACATAATCACAACCCACCAGGAAATTTTAATAAAACCGTTTCATCCTTTCAATTTGCAATCCATGAGGGAAGTTATCCAGGCCAAATGATACCTACACTCAATTAGATAAAAAAAAACTTTTGAAGTGAGTTCTACTTACGGCTGCACGTCGGACATAAACAGGATGAGAAAGGTGCACATTATTAAGCAGAAACAAGATAGAATCCAACGTGTAATACTCTCGAGGTTGGCCTTCCTTTCCAGTCCTGAAATAAGAATGACAAGAGTTTTACTCACAATTCGAATTCAGTCCTTTGAGCTCAACCGCATGCATCGGTTCCCCTGTCCCCACCCTGCTCTCCAACAACGGGTTTAACGCAGCAAAGGAAAATATACACAAAGTGCCCTGACTGGTGTGGCTCCCGAAAAGCAAAGGTCCCGGCTGGGCCCCGGGGCAGGGCACTCAGGGTGTGAAAGGGATTGATGTTTCTCTCCCTCTCTTTTGCCTTCCCTTCCCCCTCTCCAAAAATAAATACAATCTTTTTTTTTAAAAGAAAATACACACAAAGTATGAAATCTAATAAATGGAACTGTCCTTAGCGCCCACCAAAGGAACACAAAGGTAGACAAAGACAAAAAGCAGCTGGTAAGGAAAACACACACTACTTGTACCCTAGGCTACTACGCACTTTTTAGAGTGTGACCCAAGTGAGGTTCTGGGCTGGGTCAATAGAGAAACCGAATCAGTAACACATTGGAGGGGATCAATAAAGGAATCAAACTGATTAGGTGAAGCAAGAAGACATTGATCCCACTACCTCTTCCAAGTAACATTTTCACAGTAAACACAACACTGAATTTCACAGGTACAATTCTTGTGACATCCCTCAAATCACACCGACAGATGCAAAGCAAAATGAATTCTACCCGTGATAAAACAACGTCACCTGGGGACACAAGCTCTCCAATGCTCAGCAATAGCAGCAGCCAGGCCCCCCTTCCTACCACACTCTCCCCGCACCCCCGCGCACAAACGCCAGAGTATTGGACTGCATCTGAACACAGCAGTATAATCAGCCCCCAACCTAATTTTCTAGCCTTTATTCCCACTTTTCCTCTCAGAGGATATATTTCAAACCACACATCACTGTCAATTACTGTACTATGAAATCTAATATAGGGGCAACAACAGGGGCTTTTTTTATGACAGAGAAAAGCAAAGTAACAGAATGTAGCACATGCAGTAATGTATCGCTTACCGCTCCAAGTGCGCACATATTTACGCGTGCACACAAGTTAACTGTAAATGGAAATACATGACCGGCGTGACTCACTGCTGTGAAAGTTTGAGATCCACTGCCCTCAACACTCCGCCGCTCTGGCTTCGCTGAGTTGCTGTCAAAACGCTTCCCCTCGGGCTGCCGGGCCTTTTCCCCACCCGGTCCCCTGGTCCTGAAAGACCTAGCCCATCCTTCGAACTCAGAACTCCCACCCCTTCTCGAAAGCTGCTCATCCATTTCCTCACCCAGGTGTTCAGCAGAAACCTGCATCGTGTCCATAAGCCAGGCACACATCTATGAAACCCAGCACCCCAAGACCACACAGTGACTGAGGAAGTCAAGCGCCGTCCAGGCAGGGACCAGGGTCCTAAGAGTTCTCCTGTTTCTCAGGCTGGACCGCTCTACAGCCCGAATAAACTCCTTCACCGTTTTTTAAAGAAAAAACTAAAAATCGGTTAAAACTCCAAGCAAATGTAATTCTGCTTGTACAATTTGACACACACACACACACACACACGAAGTCAGAAGAGTGCCGCTTCACCAACGTGCCACGAAGCGAAATAAACCGGGAGCCCCGGGAGCCAAGCAGCACACGCAGAACCGAACCAACAGGCTCCGTCTCCCCCGGGTCGCACCGGCTCTCCACAAGGCCCACGACTCCCGTCCGCCCGAACCAGGCGGGCAGGGACGTTCGGGCCGCAGGTTCCAATTACTGACAACGAGACGCCAGCGAGGCCGACGTCCCTGGAGAGGCGCAGGCGACTCCCCGAGCTCGCTCTAGGCACTTCCTTCAGGACCGCAGGTCGGGACACCCCGCGTGGACCCGCATCCCCAAACCACTTCTCTCTGCAGCCCGTTCCCCGAGATCACACCATCCGTTTCCCCCTCGGGGCTCCCCAGCCCCCGCTCCCTTGGGAAGCGCCTCCCTTCACCTGCCACGCGCCCTGCAGGACTCTCCCAAAGCGACCGCGTCCCGACCCCGCGAAGCTCGTCCCCTCCTCTCTTAGGGGAGCCGCGGAAGCACCAGACAGCGAGCAGGCGCTTCGCGGACAGCGGCGACACTCGCGTCCGAGGGCAGCGCGCAGCGACAGGAAAGGAGCGTCCGGAACAAAAAGGGGCGTCCGGGTGGGGGGGGGGGCGGCCGGGGCGCCCCGCGCAGGTAGCTCGGGGGACCCGGGAAGTCACACGCCGCCCAGACACTAGAAGGGACGCGCCGCTCCCGACGCGGCCGCCGCTCCCGACGCGGCCCCTCCGCATCCCCACCTGGAAGTGCAACTTCTGCTCCAGAGGAAAACTTTTCGCCCGGAGCCCCCTCTTTCCCACCCCCGAGCGGCCCGGGGGGAGGGGCCCGGACCGAGGCGGACTGAGGGCGCCCCGGGCGCCCGGCTCTGCCCGGCCGCCCCGCGCCCACCTCCGCGGGGCCCGACGTACCCCCAAACCACATAGTTGGTCTTCACGTTCTTGGGCCAGGAGAACTCGCCGAAGATGACTTCGTCCCCCTTCACCACAATCTCCTTCTTCTGGATGTTGTACTGTCGCAGGACGCTGAGCACGTCCGCCATCTTCCGCCCCCTCGCCGCCGCGGGCCCCGAGCGCCGCCGCCGCCGCCGCCGCGCCTGCCTCCGGCCGCGCCTGTCGCCTCGCTCGCCCGCGGCTGCTCCGCCGTCGCCAACGCCGCCGCCGCGAGCCAACTGCGGCCGCGCTCGCAGCCGTGCTCGCTACGCCAGCAACAGGGGCAGGAGCCGCCCAGGCCGCCGAGGACCCCGCGCTAGGAGGCAAGGCCCCGCCGCCGGCTGCCCGCGGAGAACGCCTGACTGCGTGCTCCCAACGCAGCGCGGCCGCCGCCAGGGGGCGTGCCCACGGGCCCGGAACACGCCCCTCTCAGACCTCCGCTCCGCACCGGGCCGGCTCCCGACCCGAACCTCGCGGCGCGGAGACGCGACGCCCACGCAAGACGCTCGGACGGGAATCCTCGCCGGGCGCACGCGCACGGAGAACGTACTGCAAATCGGCTCTCACCACACCCTCCCACCCCGCCGAGCGCTCGGCGACCGACAGGTGCGCGCGCACCTGCGCGGAGAGTCCGCCCTCCCATCCCTGGAGCCGGTGTTGAGTGTGGCCGAAGGCTCTGGGCTCCCTGCTGTGGCGAGCGCGGACGGAGCTTGGCCAAAGGTTTGCAGAGCATTGGGACAGTGTTGCCCTCGAGGTCGAACTCAGGTCTAGCAAACGGCCCCTGGCGCTCAGGGATTAATCCCTTTGGAAGGGTGAGGTTTGAGGTTTGGGGTGAATTCGCATACTGGAAAAGACCGAAGCCAGCAGAGATCAGTCCTGGGCACCACTTTCGTTTCCCGTTCTTTGATCCTGGTCAACTAAGCATCTTATCACAACAACAGTTGGACAATAGCGAAAATGGAGTTAATAAGAGAATTAGGTGAAAGCGTATAGCAAATCATCAAAACGCCACCCATGTGGGGTCTTATCCCTCCATTCTGTACATAATGACTTTTTCCATCCTGGTCCCCTTTCCTCCCCACCAACCCCAAAGGGCTGAATTTAAAAGGATCTGTTCCAAGATGCCAGTGGGAAGTGAAGAGAAGAACTACAAACTGCCCAAATTAGAGCACTTTCGGATTGCTTGATTTCTTAAACTGGTATTCAGACGGCTCAAGGGTGGCCTTGCTGTGCTGGAAACAATACCATCTCAATAAACGGCAGGTCCTAGAATAACCATTGCTCTTTGATGAGAAAACATCATCTTGCCTGGCCACTCCCTGTGTGGCTTTTGCACGGTGTACTCGTGTGTGTTGGTTTTCCCCCAGGGCTCTGGAGTCTCTGATTTCCTCCCACAACCCAAAGACAGACGTACAAGTGAGGGTCACTGGCCTGTCTACACGGTCCCAGTCTGCATGGGCGTGGTGGGTGTGAGTGGCTTTGGGTTGGAAGGGAGTGCTGTCCAAGCTGGGTCCGCACTGCAGGGACAGGCTTGGGTCACCGCAGCCTTGGCCTGGAATAACCAGGTGGGAAAAGAATGCTCTTGTTTGTTTTTATTTACCTTTCTGAATTGTACATTTCGCTATTACTTCACTCAGACGGGCACCATGTAGACACGTCACTGAACCTGAGCATGCACATCTTTGGGATGTGGGAGGAAAACACAGCAGACAAGGCGAGGATGTTCACACTGCACCCAGGCTATGACCTCAGCTGGAATACATTTTCTTCCCCATCAGCTTGGACAAAATGATGTTATTCAAGGACCTGCTGTATTAAGGGCAGTTCCTAAAGGAGGTAATCAATGGTGGGAATCACTTTTTTTGTAAAGGAAAGCAGGTGACCAGATTTAGTGTTGTAGTAACAGACAGAGGTGCATGAGGAAAACTGTTTTATAGGTTAATCTGCTAGCTTTTAAAAAGTCTGCTTGGCTTGGGGAACAATTAGGTTTAGCAGGGGCCCTGAAACAATCAACTGAAGTTCTTAGACAAGACAAGTGCCCTTTGGCTACTGGATTGAATGAAAGACTAAAGTAAGTAATAAACTTCTAAAGAGTCAGTACCCCTCTGGCTTGTTCAGACCTTCCTTGGACAAAAACAAAAAAGGATTTTTGAAACGAGGATCCTTGAAACAAAAATTGTTTTAAAGATTCTATTTATTTACTTTTAGACAGAGGGAAAGGGTGAAGGAGAGGGAGAGAAACATCAGTGTGTGGTTGCCTCTTGCGTGCCCCCCACCGGGAATCAGGCCCACAACCCAGGCATGTGCCCTGATTGGGAATCAAACTTGGGATCCTTTGGTTCACAGGCTGGCACTCAACCCACTGAGCCACACCAGCCAGAGCTGGAAACAAAGATTTTGCTAGGTTTCTTTTAACTTGAAAAGTATATACAGTAAGTGAAAGATATTTTTTATTAACACATTTTGTTTATAGATAATTAACCTAAAACAGCCTCTTTTTGCAGTTTTTTCCTAAGATTTGAAAACAATTTCTCAATAACTTTTTAAAATGTGAAGAATTATAGAAATGTTGAATTATGTTTCTTGATTTTTAATACTTAGAGTAAAAGAGTAATTCTTTTTTTCTCCAATGGCCATTTTGGGAGACCTGATCAGAATTTAGACATTATTCTGAATGTGGAGCCTAAAGCAAAATTAACAACAGTTGTTACAGAAAACGAGAACTCAGTTATAGGTACCTAAGAGGAGCCCTCGCTGGTGTGTGGCTCAGTTGATTGGGTGTCATCCTGCAAACCAAAAGGCTGTGAATTCAGTTCCCAGTCAGGACACCTGCCTGGGTTGTGAGTTCGGTCCCCAGTCCGGGAGCGTGCAGTTCTCTCTCACACTGATGTTTCTCTCCCTGTCTTTTCCCTCCTTTCCCCTCTCTCTGGATCATTAATTTTTTTAAAAAAGGAATTTTAAAAAATACGCATCTAAAGAAATATTTAGAGGCAATATTGTAAAAACAGTGATAGACAACAATTAGGAATTAAATTTTTCAAAAGGAGGAGTCTTTTCAAAATTCATGATTGAATATGTTAGAAAGCACTGAGAATGAACATATTTTGGTGGACAAAAAGGAACCTCTACTAACTTGGGCACAGAATGACTGGATTCTTTTACAGAAAAAAAGGCCCATATTCTACTCTTTTGTACATTATTCATGTAATTATTGGCTATATAAGATTTATAACTATACCTTTATATTATGTATATTTAAGCATAAATGAATATATGCAAATAATATAAAGTTTTTAACTATGGCCTTAAAATATGTATTTGAACTAACATAATGTACCAATTAAATCAGAAAACCATATAGATTGCTTACCATACATTCTTTTATTTCTCCGTAATTATTGTCACCTCATATAGTCAACCAGTCACATTAAGGATCACATTTGTTCAAAGTAACCATCTTTTTCTCCAAACAAAAGAGAAAATCATCAGACAGAAAACCAGTAATTGCTTAGCTACTTTTTCCATGAATATGCATTTTGTATTATTTCAACAATTTTGTTTGTTTGATCCATCAGTTAATCTTTAAGAGAGGGAAAAACAGAACAGAGAGAGAAGCTGCCAGTTTTTAGACAAATATGAAATTTCTACTGTAAAAGCCTATTTGTATTTTCTATGCAAAGAGAGAAAATTTAGATGTAGAAATACCCATTTTAACATGTACACACACAAAAGAGTGTTACTATGGCTGATTTAAAGAGTAAGCTGGGCCATGACAATTTCATCTGGTCATATGATGAAAAGGCTAGCCTTAGCAGCCTTCTAAGTATGGACATATACAAGGGGGTGTCTCCTACCTTGAATTAAAAATTCTCTTTCTTGTACACAAACGACAATTTTCTCATGAAGGTTTCTTTTATTTTTATTCTAAAACACCTCTTAAGTAAACATCTTGTTCTCGTCAGAAATAACCAAAGTGGCCAGGGGAGCTCTAAACCGTCCCTGGTGCAACTGTGCCTCCTAGGTAAGCGTACAAGTCAGCAGAGTGTGCAAACGTGAGGGAAGCCGTGCGCGGCGTGGAGGTGGCCGTGCTCAGCTGAGAAGCCCCTGTGAGAACAGCCTTATTCCTGAAAGGCGGTGCTGGTGAAACCTCACGGCACTGGAAGTTGGCCAAAGGCTAATCATCCTCAAACAGGGGTCAGGCAAACCTCCTGCTTTAAGCAGATGAAATGAAACAGAGCAGGGACACAAAGGCAAGACTAAGGAGAATATCTATATCTACTTTTGCCTGGAGAGGAGACTCGAGGCAAAGGTGATTCAAAGGAGACCCCGGGGGCCAGCTCAAGCACAGACTTACAGGGTCCCTGCCTGGAATCTTCTCACAGACTTTCCCCCCAACAGACAACCTGACAAACAGACATCAGGAGAAAATGTTAGAAGGCTAGCAAACAATTTCACAAATGAACACCACAAATCAGGTTAGATAACAGAAGGGGCCCAGGAGACTTCTTCCTAGGAAAGAAAAGAAAATAATAACCAATGTGAAGGACTTCAACAAAAAGTCAGAGCTCAGTTAAGCATCCATGGCCCTAGCCAGAAATAGACAAGAGTCAAGGATCCCAGTCTGTGGTGGTGAGGGTGTCTGCTGAATCTTGATGGAAACTTCATTTCTGTCAATGACCTTGGGACAGAGGCCCCCAGGAACACACTGTGGAGACAGGCATACCCATTGTTACAGCTTAAAGAGTCGGAGACTCAGTGGAATACAACTACCCCTGTAGCCTGTTTCTGAAATGCCACTGACATTTCTCAGTCTTCAATCTGAACCAGATAATGTCACTCAATTATGTGACTTTTACTTATGTGAATTTACCTATATTCACTCTATGCCACTATTAAATTTTACCAGACACATGCTTTCAGTCTTTTGCATCAACAGTTGAAAGTTTCTATACTATTAAGTGAATATCTGATTCACCAGTGAAGTTGAAAATATTCATTCTCTTTAAATTCATAAGTAAGAATAAAAATACAAGGTTAGCCTCCCCTTGACAAGAGAAAATGGACAAGGCAAAGAAACACTGAACTCGTTAGATAGACAGAAAAAAAAACCCCTCCAGAATGCAAAGGTCAGGAAACATTGATCACTAAATGTTGTTTGTTCAACACCACATGGCACTTGGAGTCATTAATTTGTCTAGTCGAAGGCTTAGAGACCACCCGAGATCTTTTGAAGAAATAATTTGCTCACACTTCAAAAGAAAACATATATTCTGCTCTTGTCATCCAGTCTATTGACCCAGAGACTTAAGGACACAGGTTTTATGGATATAGACATGATATACACAGAAGGAAGAAAGTGCTTGGAAGGAAATAAAAGCAAATACTTCAGTCAGAATATACCGGATGCTAATTCCTGAGTGAATTGAAGGGGTAAAGTTACCACGTTCTTTAACAGGATTTCCCC